CTGTGACTATCTAGACTTTCCATGCTTGCTAGTCTAGATTTTTGAATCAAAAGATAATTGAATTTCATACAAGACTCATATAATACTGAAATCAAATGTTGAATTGGCTAGATTTAGGCGTTGACCGAATCAAAACTTTTAAGTTTGATGAGCATAGCCTAGTGAACTTGAATGTAGGTCTATTATATGAACTAACCAAACCACCTGATTTAAGATTTTAATTCCGTTTCTTTCAAGTTTCATCTGTATATTTAAAATATTGTTTTTTATCGTAATTCAAACAAAAACATATTTCTATGCTTCACATACTCAAGTACCAATATGGCATGATGTGGCAAATTTCAGTACTCTATCAACACTGTTGTAACCTGTATTATTCACGTTTTTGACAGACCCTTTTCATGATAACGTTTATATCGAAATGCCTCTTCATAGAGAACTTGTAGGCGTAATAAAGCAATTTTCTTACCTTAGTTATCATCAAGTGATTACGGTTGAATGAAGATACGTAATTTTTCTCAATTAAACAGGCGATCAAATTCTTCGAAATATAATAGAAATACTATTGTCCTAATTGATCTTTCTTGAGAGGTGAAATGAAAGAAGAACGAAACCTACTTCTACATAAAGACACGTAGTGATAAGCGGTAATTTCTTGTTTTTTGCGTTCCTGTTATACTATATAAGAAAAATAAATAAAGGAAAACTGAGTCTATACTGATATATGGCCAACGAACATGGATCTCATGAGAAGATCAAAATAATCGATGGCCAGATCGACTTCGATTATGGATACCACTAAATGAAGAAAGACTATCAACTTGTTCAAGATATGACCGAAACATATAAGCAACAACAACTGGACAAGCAGAACCGATACATAGTATGAGTTATCATACTCAATCATTCATCGTATCCTCGAATCAACAGCAAATGATACGTCCTTTACCACAACTGATAGATTGTCTCGTACCACCCAAGCACATTCAACAAATGCATCATCAACATCAGAAACATACATGGAAGACATCAATGAAATACCAAATGAGAACATCAGTACCTAGCTTGACGTTCAATCGAGTTCCATCATCTACTACTCGGTGATCACGAGAGGAAAGTGGCTGTGAAAATCAATCTCAAAGATAAGTAAAGAAAAAACCAAGACCTGATGAATCAACAGTACCATCAGCACCTCAGACAACATCTTCTACAATAACAACAAATAAACAAACTCACTTGCATACAGCTTATCTCCAACGAGCTATATTTGAACAAACTACCATGTTTTTATATTAAATTCGATACTAATACCACACATTATAAAATTCCTCCAGATATGAGGATAGCAAGTTGGATGCATCAATTAGTTCAACAACAATCATCAGAACCATTTGGCGAGTTCTCAATTCTCACACTAGCTAGTAATAGTCGATATAAAGTTGGAGTAACATCGATAAGTGATTTCTTATTACTGTAGAATTGTAAATGACCTGGTGAAATAGACAATATCAAAATTGAAATACAAAGATCTCGTGCATGACCAGATTGTTGCGTCTTAGTTATACGATATGTGGGTGTATGTAGATGAAGATAATACTCACACCCACACTCTGAACAAAATTAATGCAAAACTTTTGCCCCACCCGTTATGTCGTAAATAGTATATTATTTAATTCGAAATGATATAATTACAATAAACTGAGCAATTAATTTTAAAAAAAATTACAAGACAAAAACAAATCTGATAAAATGAGTTCAATCTCATTTTTCAAGATGTTGAAAGAAATTTTTGCACGAATTCTATAATAAAAAAATTAAATAAAACTAAATTATAAGATTAAATTACCTTCATAATCAAGTTTACCGTCTTTATTTACATCAGCCTAAAGAGAGTCAAGATCAAACAAAATTGTTTTTTTTTTTTCATTTATAACAAACCTCTCTCATCATCTCTTCTAATTCTTCTTGATTGAGTTTTTCACCCATATTAAGCATCACCTTGAAAACCAAAAAACAAGATCATTCAACAAGGAAAAAAATTCTGATTTAAACAAAAAACCTCTTTTAATTCATTGATCGTTATATAACCTGAATTATCTCGATCAAAAAGTCGAAATGCTTCACGCAATTCAACTTCTTGATCACGTTCATGCCAATGTTTACTCATAAATGCAACAAATTCTTGAAAATCTAAAATTTGATTACCTGAAAAATAATTCACAATAAAATTCTCCGATAAATAAACTACTAATTCATTATATTTACCATTTTTATCTACTTCAGCAATAAGATCAGCAATTTCTTTATTTGTGGGATTTAATCCTAATGAACGCATTACTTGTCTAAAATATAATTTATTACCATATAAAAAAAAACCAATTGTTTTTTTTTTCGTATTAATTCATAATCAACATGCTATCCATCGTTACTGACTTAAGCATAAGAGAGCTTCCCCTTAGATATCTTCTTCCTATTTCGATGAATTTTTGCATACATATACTACATAGTGTTCTAATAAAAAAAACTAAACGGATATGCTTTTCCTATTGAAATTTGACCAAACTATCGAATCCTTTTGTAGAGAAATCCAGTTTTTATTGTAACACTATTTAAATCTGTTCTGTTTTTGACTTAGAGAAATTTTTCTCAGCATTTATTCACGTTAAGTCTAAAAAGAAAGCATCTTAAAAACTTATATTTTGATTCGTTCAGTTGATAAATATCACATTCTTTTTGCTGATCTATTCTGAATTTGGCTTTTATTGATGTGATATATATGAAATAGTTTGCTAAATCTAGCTTCTTTCTCAATACCTTTTGTTTCTCGTAATCTCGGTACTTTACATCTCAACTATCATGATAAGTAGATACTTAATAAATTGTTCAATTAAATCGTTAGTTTTTGAGACAAAAAAAAACAACAAAGATTATTCATGAAGAGCTTTCAAAAGAAATAAGTTTTCATACTAACCCAATTTCATTTGCATCAATTGTTCCATCACCATTTTTATCGAATAATTCAAAAACTTGTCGAAATTCTGAAGAAACATAATTAAAAATCTATTTTTATTCTTTTCACTGACCTTCAGCTTTTGCAGTAGAAAATGAACTCTAAATAGAATAGTAACGTCATACAATTGTAAATTGCAAAAAAACAGACAAACAATCATTCACCATTGATGAGACGCAAATCTAAGATGACGTTGAATAGAAACTTAAATGATTAAACAAGTGATGCAGCAAGTCATATTTTTTCTTTCGCTATGTAAATAGGAAAGCAAAAAAAAAAAAGAAATAATCTAATTAAGTAGAACAATATGCAGATAGCGGCGACTGACGTTTGGCGTCAGATTACACTTGCATCTCTTATAATTTAAGAAAAAGCAACACAACTTGATATGAATTTTTGTTCTTGAGAAAAATCTGATGTTATATAGTAAAATTATTTTTTCAGGCAACTAGAAGGTTTATTACAAAAAAGAAAAAAAAATGAGCAAGGGAAACAAAAAGGACTTATGGAGCTATATTGATGGATCGAAAAACACAAGAAGAAAAAAAAGATGGGAATGAGAGAAATGTTTTGTTTGGTTTTTTTTTTCTTGAATCTATTGCTACCAAGGATGCAATGGATAATTACTCATCGTCGGCAGCAGCAATTAGTTCAATCTAAATAATACCATATGATATGATAATTTTTTTTTTTTAATCCTAAGAATATATTCTTTTACTATTTGCTGCCACTAGTTATTTGTATTGAAGCAATAGCTTCATCAAGTTCTTTTTCATAATCACTAAGCCATGCAGGACGTTCTTGACTCTCTGAAAATCCAATAATATGTTTTCATTATTTTTGAAAAATAACAACATAAACTTACCAAGACTCTTAAATACACCTGCTGCTTTCATACGAGCATAATCTCGTTCTGGATCATAAGTTCTAGTGGAAAAAATAAAACCAGTGAGCGATATTTTAAAAAAATATATTGTCGTAACAATATATAAAAACTCTATTTCGATTGTTTTCCATAATGGTAACTCGCGTAAAGAATTCAAACAGCGGCTTGAATAGAAAAAATTTGTTTCCAACAAGATTTAGAGAAATATACAAAATTTCGAGTCGAATGTAAATTTTTCTGTCATCATCACGTTTATTTAAAAAGAAAATACCATTAAAGTGCAGCATCTCTACAGCAATACAATTCTCTCATTGCACTAATCATTGAATACAAAAGACTGAGAAAGAAAAAACCTATCGCGTATCTTCTAGATAATTATCTGATTTCGATTAGTAAATTTTAGACTCGATAAGCTTCCTTATTAAACTTCTCTTTAAATTTGTACGATTCTGTAAAAACATATTGTCAAGAGCTCGAAGATATCTCATTTTCTATGAATTCAATCGCTCTGTGTAATCAAGAGAAACTTTTGTTTTTTTTTGCGAAACCTTTACTTCCGTTAAATCCATGTTGAAAACAATTTTCTTTTTAAACAAAAAAAAAGCAAGACTTTAATAGTTACTTGTAAAATGATGATATTTGACGTTTATGTCGATCAGATACCAAAAATTTGCACGCAAGAGCAGCTACAACAGCAAGACTACAACCAATCAAACCAGCTCTAGGTACTCGTGCTCGAGTTAAATTTTTTAAAACAGGTCGTCCAGCCGATGACGAACTTGTTTTAGCTGATGAAACAGCAGCTGCTGACATGTTTTCTTTTTGTTTATAGAAATATCTAAATTATGTCATAGAGAAGATATTAATAACAGAAGAGAAAAAAAACAGTAATTCTATTCGGAAATGGTTTTTATTGTTGTTTTTTTTTATAGAACATGAAACTCAATCTGACAGACTGAGATAAATTGCAATGTCACTCGGTAAAATAATTATACATAAATAATTAAAACAAAAGAAATAAATAAATTATTGATTAACGAATAGAAAACAAAAAAAAAGAAGACAATCGGAAAACAATAAAAATAAAAGATTTTAAAGCTAAAATTATTGTTTTAAACGTTTAATTAATTTATTTTCATAAGTCCATTTTAATTCACCCGATTCAGTAAAATACTAAAATAAAAATATTTTAATTAAATATAAATTAAAATTGATTTTTTTTTTGTTGTTTACTTTTGTTTGCCATTTAATTGATTTTTCATTACGTTCTTTTGCTTCTTCACGTTGTCGTTGTTCAAGAAATGTTTTTGCTGCAGTTGCTTTATTAAGTTGTTTAGATTTAAGATAATAAGTTACATCTTTCCATAGACTAAATGCAAAAAACAAAAACAAATAAATAAAAAATTTTTATTTTTATTTTCATTTTAATTAATTCATACCGACGACTTTCATATTCACTTTGTTCAGCAATTGGTCGAACAATTTTTTTAATAACTGCCGTTTTTTTTGTATCAAAAAAAACTTCCGATATTTTACTATCACTATATTTAGCATTCATTACACCATTCCATTCACCATCTATTTTACAAAATTCTTTCTTATCTGGACCATATAAAGTACCAAGTATTTGATGTTTCTTTCCATTATAAAATGGCTATTAATAACAAAAAAAAAAACATTCATTTTAATAATAAGTACTATCCTTGATTAAAAATAAACTGAATTAAAAAAAAAGTTAGTTTCTCTAAATTTTCATAAAATTTAACTTGTAGGGCAATGTCCCCGTGAGGCATCAAAAATATCATATGAATATCTTTGGTTTTAAGCAAATTATATATAAAAAAAGAATAATTATAAAGTAATGCGAAATAGGTTTTTTTCTAATTCGAGACTAAATGAACTTGATCTTATACTTCTTTAAACCAAGGTTATATCCAGATTTAATTTCAGACACACATTTTGAATCATAATAGATAAAAGTTAATGTCAGAAAACTGTTCAATCATCAGATTAATGAAAAAAAAAATTCGTCAAATCTACTTTTTTTGCGAAATCTTAAATCTTTGCATCTATCTGATGATTTAATTCACCCTCAAAAAAAAGTCATGAAATATTATGCTTTTGTTTTTTTATCGTACTTTCCAGTCATTTTTAAAATCTTTCTATCAAAAAAAAAACATACTTTTGTTAAAAATTCAATATTTGCTGAATATCCTGTTTTTTCACAATCAATGCTTATTTTACCACCCATTTCAAACCAAGGTACACCAAGAATCGATCTAAATAATAATAGTTTTATATAAAAACTAATTAAATTAATTATCTACCGTCCATAAGCACTTGGAAATGTTATAACATAACGTTCATCATGATCAAGTAATGTTAATGTTGCATCACCAATCATATGCACAGCAACAGATAGACCAAGAAATTTTGATTTTGTCCATAGACATCCATCTATTTGAATATGTTTTGCCGGACATTCAGCATAAAAAGAAGCAACTATTAAATAATAATAATATTATTATTATTATTTATTCGAATATACTTAAGGCAAACCAAAAGTTCGTAGAACGGTGTTTAAAGAACCTTGTCGGATAAGGTAATCTATTCAGAAATGAAAAACCAAATATACTATGTTGTAGAGCTTTTTGAGACGCGTCGAATGGTATATAATGAATCCTATTTTCATAAGACTTTGAAAGAACTAGAGTCAATTTACTGATAGACGACTACGCACTTGAGAGCTGCGGGCCCATGTTTTTTTGGACCCGAACCCCAGAAAAACTAAATTTTCAGACCCGGACCCGATCCTTTTTTCACCAATATTTGGCACCTTAGGTGTACATGAACAGAAAAGAGAACACAATTTTAGCTCTTTATTGGAGACTTTAAAGGTAAAATGAGTGTAAAATTATTTCTGACTGTTTCTTTTTCAATTTTGTTGACTTCAATTGTTATTGTTATATATTTCCTTTCATAACTTAATGCAGACCGGGTCTGACTTTTCTCTTAGGTTTAGACCCGGACCCGGACCCGGGTCTGGAAGGACCTGCAGCTCTCTACTACGCACCCATACTCACACCCTCACCTAAGTATGACAGGTTACTGAATATTGTAATCCTTGGGATTAGTCGAAAGTATTTGTAAAATATTTTTTCTCACATACGATTTTGCAGAGTTTTTGACAGGCTACAACCTCATATATGTAGCATCTCCGGTCATCTTGTCAGTGTGAATGTGTAGTCGTCTATCAGTAAATTGATTCTAGTTCCTTCAAAGTCTTATGAAAACAGGATTTACTATATATACCATTCGACGCATCTCAAAAAGCTCTACAACATGGTATATTTGTGAATAAGTTACCTTATCCGACAAGGTTCTTTAAACACCGTTCTACGAACTTTTGATTTATCCTAAGTATTTTATTACTTGGAGGATGATGAGATGTTTGTTCAGCAATAAAAGTAACATTATTATCTAATGCCCATGAAACAGGACCATCTTTTGCTAATGTTGTCTATAGTACAAAAAAAATAAATAAATAAAAGTTCATATATTTGGAAAAGAATAAATTTAAAATATTAACATTTGAAGATGATGAACCAATATCATATAAACATTGAAATGTTTCACCAAGTATTGGATTATATGGTTTTTTAGCTACAGAACTTTTTCGTCCAGCATGAAATGCAGATAAATACCATTTAACAACTTGAATAAAACGTTCACGTGATGTTTGATAATCAGTTATACTAATAAAGAAATTATTTAAAAAAGAATTTTATTCTTCTTTTAATTTAAATTCTTACTTAACAAATTCATCAGGATGAGCAAGAAAATCAGCAAGCATTTCAAGAAAAGAACGTCGTTCAAGAATAAATGTTGGTAATGTTATTTTTGTTAAATCCATTGATATACGAGCCTTTGAAAAAAAAAACAATTTTCAGTCATTTATATTATCTATGTGATAAATATTTTTCTTTACTTGAGAGATTAAATGTGAAATAATAGTTCCATCAATAGGTGCAACTAAAAACATAGAATTTTTTTTTTTTTTTTTTTTTTTTTTTCAAATAATTTTTTATGATCTTCTTCTACTTCTTCTTCATAAGCAGCTTCATAAATTTCAAATGGTATTTGTGATTCATTTGTAAGACTAAAATAAAAATTAAAAAACAAAAAAAATAATATTTGAATTGAATTTTTACGATGTTTCATTTATTGTTATTTTTTCATCTATTTGTTGATTTGAAGATGTTGCAAAAACTGATGCACTAAATAAATTTTTTTATATCATTCATATAAAAAAATCAAATATATATATCTTACTCAATTGATTCATCAGCATCATAAAAATCATTATCATCATCACTACTTGAATATGATGATATAGGAAATTTTTTTCGAACAGTTTTTACAGCTGTATGAAAATCTAAAGCTATACAAAAAAGACAATAATAATTCAAATATAAAAAAAAAAAAACTAAACGTTTTACATACATTCAATTAAATTATTATCTTCAATTATTTTTTCATTTGGTAATATTGTTTGAGCAATATTTAACGATATTTCATTATTAGGAATTTCATCTATTCAAAAAACAAACTAAAATCATTTGAGAATGAATTAAGAATTTTTAATACCACCTTTATTAATATTCATATCTGATAATAAAGTTCGATAATCAACATCAGTTTTTGTATCATTAGGTGAATCCATATGTACCTATGAAAAATAAACCGAAATATTTTTTTTTTTAATATATATATAAAATTATTTTTTGTTAGAAATAGCAATGCATTTGGTCAGAATTTTATAACTAAGCCTACCATTTCAAAAAATTGTTCATCCATAGAAGGATATGATGGTCCATTTGAATAATAAAACTGTAAAAATATGTATGATTTTTCTTTCTAAACTACTATTCATTTCAAATTTAGAATGAGACTTCACAATTTTTTTTTATTCAAGAGAGAAGATTCGAAATCATCAAAAAAAAATTTGATTGATGAGTTCTAATTTTTTTTTTTTCACTCGAGATGTGATATTTATTTTTTTCGATTCGAACTAATTTGATACAATTATCTCAATATTTTTCAAATTTTGACTTCTTCATTTCATGAAATTCCAAGTTCGAACCGAAAAAAAATATCATCATTTGACTAGAATACAAACGATAAAAAATAAAGTTCTTAGTAACGCACTAATTCTCAAGAGAACGAGCTTTTATAGGAAAATATGAAAACTCATATGACTTTTCCAAGGAAATTATTTTAAATATGAAATTTGATATTTAGTAAAATAATATGATTCAAACTACTATACTTGATACTCAATTTGTATTCTTTTTGACTTATATTCAAATAGTCATTTAACTTCAAATAAATATCATTTTTACAATTCAATATAAAAAACTGATACAATTCTCTATTATATCAATTATAAAATATTTACTTTTGCTAATTGAAGTGATAAAATAGAATATTTAACAGCTTCGATTAATCTCTAAGAAAAAAAAAAAACATATAAAAATTTCTTTATTTAAAATTCTATTCTATATATATACTTTAGCAGATAAAACAACACGATTATAACATTCTCGTTCTTTACTATCTTGTACTTGATTACTAAGTTGTTCTAATTCCTAAAATATAAAACTTTAAAACACACACAAAAAAAAAAAAATTTCTTCATAAAACAAATTCTTACATTAACTTGATCAATTAATATTTGTAAATAAGCGTCTGCTTCTGTAATTTTACGTTGAAATATTGTTTTATTTGAACGTGTTAAATTATCCTGATGAAAATTATTTTCTAAATAAACATCAAAAAATAAACTAACATACTGTATTAAATGTATTAAGAGAAATAGCGTCTTCAAGATTTGATATCCATTTTTGTCTTTCTTCAGCATCACGAGCTATAAAAAACGAAATATAAAATCAGACTTTAAGATAAGATAAAAAACAAAAAAAAAACAAAACAAAAGTACCTTGAAAATGGAATGTTTTACCATTTGATCGTATTGTAAACTTACAAAAAAAAACATATAAAACAAGTAAGAATAAATAAAAGATTTTTATTGATAGATTCTTACTGTACTATCATCTTCTGAATCAATACCTAAATGTGCATCCTAAATAAAAAAAAGACAAACTCAAATCTTATTTACAACAAATTTTTTATTTTTATCTCTGATTCACCTTTAATAAAACCACACCACGTTGTTCACCTTTGACCATATTTTCTTTGGACTAGAGATAATACAAAATTTTCTTTTTTTTATTATTGATATTTATTTCTTACTGTATAATAAATAAGCATTCCTTGTGTAGGATCAAGAACAAAAAATCGATATTGCCAACCATGAATAACATTTGTCCACTTACTAAGTGGACCTTCAAATAACATTTAGAAATATAAAACAATTTGTTGTTTTCAAATTATCATAGACAATGAACAATTATGCACTTTTTTTTTTCTCGGCACGATCATAAATACAATAATGTATTGTTTATTTATTTACCACTAGAAATATATTGGATCATTGGTAAAATGCTGCTAGATGTCGCATGTCTATATAAGACATACGACATCAAAAAATGTTTGAATTGTGTTACTAAGCAATATAATTTAAATTCGATTCGGATTATGCAAAACAAATATCATATGAATATAGTATAACTACTGATTAATATCAAACAAAAAATTTGCATTTTCAAGTTTGAATTATGAGAGAACCTCTTCGGACGTCTACTTTCGATTTCGATAAGTCTTTCATTATAAATACTACATAGCATTCTAATGAAAAATCCCAACAGCACTTTATTTTCTATTGAATTCTGAATATTTTTACATAAAAGTCATATCTTTTGAATTTATTCTTTCACATATAAGGGTAGACTATATGTCGAATTTCAGTGTTAGTAAACCTTGTACTTCGAAGCTATATATTTTTCTTCAAAAGTAGACGTTTTTTTGATACTTTGTAAATATTTTTAAAAAATTCTTATCTCTCAAAAATACGAAGTCTACAAATTTTGTTATACTTATTACTGTTTTATGAGATCTACAAAATTCAAAACATTGTAATTTTTGTTAGTTTGGTAAGAATTTCTTTTATCAAAAACATTCAATTAATTTTTTATTCAATAAAAAAAAAAAAACTTTATAAATTATATTGCAATAAATAAATTGCATAAACTTTCTCGAAGTGATCCATCTTGTGGTACACAATAATCTGACTCAATTCGACGTTTAGGATCAGTTTCAATTAATTGACCATTACTTTGAAAAAGATCTAAAAGTGAAAATGCACCAAGATTTTTACTTTTTCCATGTTGTACTAATATTAAATCATAATTATTCGATGACGATATTGTTATTTCTTGTAAATAACCATGTACAAGAAGCCAATGTGCTCGATAACCTTTTTTAAGACATGGTTCATGATTTGCATCAGAATCATATCTAATTTTAAAAAAAAAAATAATTTTTATAAATAAAATCTTATTATTTACGGAACAAGACAAACATAATTTGATTTTAAACATTCAATAAGATCAGTTATATTTGTCCATTGATGAAGTGTAGCTTTTAAATTAAATTGTTTACATAGATTTGGAATTATACGAGCTAAAAAATGAAAAAATATAAAATCTATTCAATAAAATTTCAAATGTTTTCTTTTTTTTTACCATCGAATAATTCACCTTGAATTGTATATAAAAGTTCTTTAGCTTTTTCAAATATATTTTGTACTGTTATATTATATGAATGAATATTCATAGCCATTGCAAGAGCAACAAGTCCACATCTTATAAAATATAGAATAAAAATAATCATTCAAATTTAATTATAATCATATTATTTACTGTGGACCATCTTGTAAAATCGATGAAATTGGTTTATAAACTATTAATTCATATTTTTTTGTTTCATCACGACCAAATTTTGATCTAATTTTGAATATTAAAAGTTTAGAAAAAACAAGTTTTTATTAGACAAACCTATTAAATGCTCGAATAACTTCTTCTGGCCATGTTTCCATTCTTCAAGTTATAACAAACAACAAATAAATAAAATCTATACAAAAAAAAAACATGAAAGAGAGTAGTTCATATAAAACATCAAATTCATTAAATATTTTTCGATTGCTTCAAAAACTAATTAAAATCTTCGACATAATCAGTAACACTAAATTTTAAGACCCGATCAAACGATACTTAATATACTCAATAGACCAGTGGCGGATCCAGGAACTTTCGAAGGGGGGTGCGGTTACGATAAAAATACGATATTTTGTAGACAAATCGCTAGAAAGTCGCATGAAATCAGTACCAAAGGGGGGTGCGGTCGCCCCACATCCTCTGCTGTAGATCCGCTCCGCCAATAGACGCAACCTACATATTTCTCAAACAACTAAAGTTCATTGATGATTATGGAGTAACAGACGTGAGTCGATCTTCAAATTTAATTTCTTCACCTCTCTATAATTAATACATTTACGATCTATATACTAATTCAAGTCTTAATGAAGTAAATATGAAAAGCTATGATTTAAATAATTTTTATAGATGTTATGTTCACCTTCAAGAAAACAACTACTGACTAGTATCTCTCAATAAAGAAATAAATATTTACATTAACTTATACATTGAACATAATTGAGTAGAACCATTGTGAAATTGAGCATGCAAATGTGAACTTACGTCTTTTTTTTTTTGAATAAATCTATTGAAAAGCAGATAGATTTATGAAAAAAATTTTTATAATCAATCTAAAACTTAAAAAAAAACAATTTATTAAAATAACTCACCGTTTGATTTAGTATATTAACATAGGATATTGAAATTAATCTATACTCAAAATACAATACAAATATTTCAAAAAGTCAAAAATAATTTTTTTTCTCTCATATATTTATCTCAATTCTTTTAATATTGTTAAATATATCATTTGTTTTGAATATACAATTAAAAATTTTAATAATCAAAGATTCATTAATTAATCTAATAGAATCAAATTTACTCGAATATTAAATATAAATAGTTTCTTTAAAAAAAAGAATACTTCATATGTTTTCATTTATTTTTCAAATTTAATTAACAAGAAAAAAAAAGAAAAATGTTAACAATTCGAATAAACAAATAAATGAAAAATTGTTTCATTCAATGAATAACCAACAATAATTAGTAAAGTCTATGGACTAATTAATGAAAGTTAACAAAGAAAATCACAAATATAATTAAGAGAATTTTTTATTAAAAAAAAGAAAACAATTCGAACAATAAATATATTTAATTCATGAAATATATATAAATAATTTATTTCACATTTTTTAATTGATTTGATAACCAATCAAGTCCTTCACAAAGACCATCACCATTTGTAGCACAAGCTGCTTGAATATACCAATTACGATTACGTAATGAATGAAGACCTAATTTATCAGTTATTTCAGCAGCATTCATTGCATTAGGTAAATCCTAAGAAAATGTAACATTAAGAAAAAAAAAAAAGAACTTTTGTGTTTTTTTTTTTTACTTGTTTATTTGCAAAAATCAGTAGTATTGCTTCTCTAAGTTCATCTTCTGAGAGCATTCGTTGAAGTTCTTCACGTGCTTCACCAATACGTTCACGATCATTACTATCAACAACAAAAATCAGACCTTGAGTATTTTGAAAATAATGTCGCCATAATGGACGAATTTTATCCTAAATTAATAATACAAAAAAAAAAACAAAAAATTTCTTGATTATTCTTACTTGACCACCAACATCCCAAACAGTAAAACTAATATTTTTATATTCGACTGTTTCAACATTAAAACCTAAATTAAAAAAACGAATGTTTCTTTCATTATTAATAATATAAATTACTTACCAATAGTTGGAATTGTTGTTACAATTTCTCCTAATTTAAGTTTATAAAGAATTGTTGTCTTACCTAAACAGAAAAAAAAACAAAGAACAAATTCAAAATATGATTTCTTTTATTTTCTTTTTAAATAAAAAACAAACCAGCAGCATCAAGACCAACCATTAAAATTCTCATTTCTTTTTTACCAAATAATTGTTGAAAAATACTTGAAAAAGTTAAACCCATTTCTTTATCTAATTTAATAATCAATCTAAAATGCATATGAAGAAAAAAAACAAAAATCCTTAATGACTAGTTTAAGTAATAAGAAACCAAAAAAAAAGAAAGAACGTCAAGAAGACGATGATTCATCATAATATAAATATTATCTTATATCAAACTGTTCGCTTTTGCGAACAATAACCCATAAATTCTTGTATAAATTTTTCAAAATCTTCACGTTGTTCATAGTTACCAACAAAAAACGATCGATTATTTGCCGAACCACGTATTAAAGCTGAAAGACCTTTAAAAAGAAAAAAATCAAATAATAAAAAAGTTAATTTTTTTTTCCAAATCATCATTACGTAATCCACAAGAAGGTCGAAATAGACAAAGTACAGGCTTATTTAATGTAATAGCTCGTGCTATTTCAAAACCAACACCTAATGATGGTTGTGTTACTTCAGCAACAACTACCTGAGCTTGAGATAACCATTGCATATCACGTTCAAGAATTTCAGCATCGTTCAAATTTTTTTCTACTGTAAAAACAAAAAACAAAAAGAAATTATTAATAAATAAATCTTTTTATATTTTTCAACATACTAATTTCTAATTCAGGAAAAGCAACATGTTCAGTTAAAACTCTGCCATATGATTTAAGACAAGCAACAATTTGTTGATAAATAGCCACATCTTGTCGACCACCTCGAATACTACCACAAAAATAAATGTTCATCTAAAGAATCATATGAAATAATTGTTTGTCCTTTTGTTGTTTCAGCAAGCAATAAGACGTGGCAGAGAGAACGCAAAAGAAGAAGAAAAAACGAAATAATGACTCATCAAAATAGTTTGCAATTGCTTTTTTTTCAATAAAATTTTTATTATTTATTAAAATTTATTTTTCAAAAAAAAAAAAATAAATAAAACAGGTCAACGATAATAGAAGAAATATGTATATAATGAACTTAGTACATTGATAACACATGGTTGGATATCATTGTAGACAAATGATAACAATGATTGTGGGTAATAGTTATATTATATTGATAAGGATAAATATGATATAGAGGTCTATGTATAACAGTATATTTGAATTGATCAAAAATTTTCTACTTAGTTTTTACACATAGGAGAAAAAAAAAACAAAGTCTATTTTCTAAGTTAATTATAATTGTAAAAGAATATAAATTAGAAAATTATCTTCACTTGAAATTAAGACTTTAATGTTATTCATCACACCAGTCTAAATACTATTGTTTATTTTTCATTATCAGTCTCATGGGATTTTGACTTAATTTTGGAAAAGATAACAAAAAAAAAG